TTATATAGGTACTAAAAAAAGAACGACACGAAAACCCGTGTCTTACGTATACGGCTCTTAATATTGTGCACTCTTTCATCTCGAAGCACATAAAAGTCGAGCGCAAAGGAAAATTTTTCCCTCGAGCATGAAACCCAATAAATGTGTATATTCACGTGTAACCTTACACGAGGAGGGTGAGTATAGGTATCGTGCACGAGTCGTCTCGACCAGCATGTGTATGTACATATTCCAACACGCGGTTTCCCACACTTATATCTGCGATCTTCTGGGAGTGATGTTGGTGTTACATACGTGTGCGACGATCGGAGGGGGATGCCGTCCCTTAACCGAGGACCTCAAACCCCCAACTTCTTTTTTTTTTGGTTTCATTTCAATCAGGAGAGTCGTATCCTTGCGCCCCAACTAAAATCCTGTTTCTCAGCGTACGCCAATTCATGAAGGCCCTCAGTACAGTGGAAACAATAATTCTGACCGAGCAGTTGCTGACGATTAAAGAAGGGGATAATAAGAGAGAGGCTATTCTCTAGTTGACGGAGGGCGCGTGACCTACTTGTTGTCGGCGCTCTCCCCCGCGTGAGTGCACGGCTAATCCCGGCTAGGTGGCTTCGGGCGGGCGTAATCGTGTAATGGCCGTGATTTTCCAACTCTTGAGGGTTGGTGGTTCACTGGAGGGTTCTCCTGGTTACTTTTTTTTTGGGGGGGGGGGAGGAAGGGAAATGAGTGCCGTGGAAAAAGTTTGCAAAAAAATAAAAAAGTAACTTTTTGACGGTCTTTCAGATGATTGGGTTATTACTGAAAACTGAATTTCAAAGGGGAGAAACTATCGAGAGAAAGTCGATCGCGATGATCTCGCGAGTTCAAAAAGGACGAATCGGACAAGGGAAATTTGGCTCTTCGCTCCCGTTTTTCCGCTCTTGGCATTATTGTTTTCGTACATCACTTGCTCCCCGAGGCTGCATTCTATCCGGCTCCGATGAAATGATGTACTCTTGTTATACCCTCGCGCTTATTAATCGGGGTACCTATGGGCATTTTTTTCCCCTTTGCTCTTTCCGCTCTGTTTCCCGGATATTTCGTATCGACGCAATATCGAACTTGCAATCATATCCGCGCGAACACGCGATATTTAATAACGATGGGATCCCACTCGCTTTTTCCCCGTGGGATTTTTCAGGATATTGCATTTCCCATCACTGATCGAGTTGCATTTGTCTGTAATTGAAAAAAAAAAAAAAAAAAAAAAAAAAAATTGTGGATTTTAAAATACAAAATGACAAAATTATAAATGGCGTTAAAAAAAAATTGAACCATTCATTATATTTGTGAGGAATGCTTTACGGATAGTCCATAAATTTTCTAGTAAAAAGTTATCCAATTGCAAATTTCCGAATCGGTGATTGAGAATTTTATCAAGCAGCTAACCATCACTTGAATAACCTGTTACTGATCAATTTGCAACTCCCCATGCAATAAGCACCCAGTCAACTGCCTTTTTTGTTTTAAATTTCATTAATTTCATTAGCCGAAAGTTATTTAGGTACTGCTAACGTATAGGAAAGTCGCATTCGAGGCAACGGAAAAAAAAAGTCCACACACTGGCCCTTGTACGTCAGTCCGTCTGTCTTGATCTTTGTACGTACACCTGCTCTCGAAGATAGAGAGAAAGCACAAGAGACTCGAGTGTACAACAAACACTTGCAGAGACACACCATCAGGGGGATGAACGCAGTTTCTGTAAAAAAGGGAGAGCTTCGGACGCAGTGGGTACACCTATGCATTTCTTCTTTTTTTTTTTTTTTTTTTTTTTCTTCTTCGACGAGCTTTTACAGTAGCAGTGTCCTATACGTATGACTCTTGTCTACACGTGGAATGTAGCAATTGTATGCTTCCCCAAAAAATCTCTGGAAGTTTCAACAACTTTACACACACAAGAGCAGTTATGCCCAAAATTTTTGGCTTCCACATCCTCTTTGGTAAAGTCCTCGTACTCTTTGGGAAAACTTTTGCCGAGAGTTGATAATTCGTGTAAGTATATATACTCAAGGATTATACCATGCCTTGAGTCGTCCCCTCTCGCCGGGGAGGCCAAACTTTTTCGACGTTGTAATGGCTTTGAATTAATTCTCTCCGACTTTCAAATGGTTTTCCGTTCAATTTTAGACTCGAGAAAAAAGTAGGCCGTACACCGGGGCTTTGTTTGCTCGCGCGGTACGTAGCTGGGAGAAAAAAAGCAACAACGAGAGCGGTATAAGGTGCGACTGTTCGAGGAATGTAAAAATAGGCGCGTTTGCGATTCGATTCGGCGAAGCCTGCAATTGAGTATTGTTTTAGGAGAAAGGGTGTTACTAAAAGAGGGGTTTTTTTTTTTTTTTATTTTTTTTTTATTTTAGATTAAATTCTGAAAATCAGGTTGGTTGGCCAACGTCGGGAAATTTCACGCTTATCGTGAAAAAAGTCGCTACATCAGAAAACTTGTTTTTGAAATTTACAATCGCGTTAAACAAAGAAACAAAGTTTTTTATTTTCTTACCGCAGAAACAAGATGATAATTTTCGAAACAATTTCGTCTCGCAGTTTTCCTTTTAGCAAGTTGGAAATATGCGTCTAGGAATAACGTGTTCGTAATCTTTGAAAACTACAATAAGTACTCGGATTGAGATGTGACTGAAAGATTAGTCGCTGCTAACCCACGGTATGGTATTCTGAAAAAAGTTAAAATAATTTGTAATAGAGTTGTTTGAAGTTCGAAACAACTGACAAAATTCGTTTGATCGCCATGACTTTTATACACTATACCTACGCGTAACCGCTTTTTCATCGCAATCAAATGAGGAGTTGAAAATTACTCTCGAGCCCAGCACTCATGAGTAAATAAAAAGCCCGAAAAAGTATTGATTTCAAGGGCCGAGGAAGAAAATAATACCACTTGGGCCGCGGGTGCGGGCTGATTAATCACTATTTGCGTTCCGGCGAATATTTCCGGCATCAGTCGTAACACGGGACGATCGCGCGCGTGCGAGTTTTTATTTATTCGCATGTTTTATGTAAGCGGCTTTTTGTCGAACGGCACGAGAGAAAAGCCTGCAAATATAACACGGAAGTACACTGTAAAAATGTTTCCCCTCTTTTTCATGGATTATGTTGCTTCTTCTTCTTCTTCTTTTTTTTTCCAGCATCGCAAGCCGTTTCGATGATTCGAGACCTAACGGTAAGAGTCTCATTTTGTCGAATGAATAATGAAATCACAAAGTCGCAAGCAAAGTTGGCACGGGCGCCTCTATGCACGTATAGTGGCTAGTCCATGAAATTTTAACGGGAGGACCGTGTCCGCAACTGCGCGCCAAGTTATCACCCAATTGGCGGGGGGGGAACAAGGACACGCATCACCGATAAATTAAACTTTGTAATTGTGCCCTGTTTACGTATATAATATACATGTAACTGCGGTGCTGGGCGAAGCGCGTACTACGTTGTTCACTGAGGTATAATCGAAAGTACCAACGTCAAACGCGGACTTACCCTTGGAAACTGCAGTTGTACGAGCGGGATTGTATTAAAAAGAGGAAAAAAAGAATCGTGTAACAATGGAACGGTAGGAGTATTCTCCTTCGAGTGGAAGAGAAGGGGAGTGATTAGAGGGGCTCCGAATTGCCTTCGAAAGGCCCGACTATGTACGGTTGAGCCGATTTATTTTACTTCGCCGATGCGGTAATGCGATTAGACGACTTTGTTCTTTTCTTGCTTCCTCTCCAATAAATGAAGGATCCGAGGTTGCGGGGATTTTTTTTTTGTTTTTTTTTTTTTTTTTTTTTTTTTCAAAGCGAAGAAGAAGTTAAATAGTTGTAAACACACGCGAACCTTGCCAAGTTCACGGCGTTTTTTACTCGAAATGAAATCCCAAACTAACGAGCACCTGTTGCCTCTCATTATTTTCCAGGATCCAACGACTCTTCTTTCCTTTTCTTTACTACGCTTCATTATAAGCCAAAAAACAAAGTTACTCTTTCTTTTTGTATAATTTAGCGGATTTTGTTGGATGCGTATCGAAGTGAGGACCTATACAGGTTGTTAAGATAACAAATACAACGATTCGAATCATTTAACATATAAAATACGTTATAACGACTGTGCATCACATTGACAGGCATTTTTTAACGAATCATATTTCTAGTCAGGCTGATTCGAAAGTGTTTTGTAAATACGCTGTCGTAGCATTGCACGTCTACTTTCTATGCTTCGTACATGTAGACGATAGACAGGAAAAATAATCCTCAGTACTTGGGTTTGTTACAAATAGTTTCAGAGTTTTCATGCGAATTTGAAATGCATCGTCCTCACTTCGATACGCACCCATTTTGTTGGTGTTTCATGCGTTCAATTGTGTAAAATTACGCGGATGAAAGGGAATAGTAAATTGTGTCACAGAAAATTACACCCCAAAGTGGGTCGACATAACACACTTGGGCAAAGTAGCAACTGTATAAAAATCACGCAATCACACAAGTAACCCAATAACCCTTGGAAAAGAGGAATATATGTATATATCCACCGAAACGGAGGCGCGCTTGTCCATCCATCATCGTCATCTCGTTCCTTTGTTCACTAAAAATCTGACTGCGCGTTATGTATAGTCCCTTCATTCAACCGGACGAGAGAAAAGGGATTCACGAGGAGCTCGACAAACGCGTCGTTATGCGCACAGGCATCACGGGAAGAAATAAAAAAGGAATCAGCCCACAATTTACGAGGCTCCGGGAACGGAGGGATTATTAGAGACTGATTAATGTCGGACTGCCCACTCACCCTGGCTCTCTTCCCCCCCCCCGACCCCTCCTCGTTATTTTCAATGGTCTATATGTGCCCCTTCGAGAACAGTCCACGGTCCTTCTTAGCGCCCACTACGAGTCCACGCACCCCCCCAATATTTGTTTATTCGAAAATATTGTTGAACGCGACTCCAAAACCAAAAAAGTACGTACATACATTGTCTTTTCCAGAGAACCGAGGAGCCAAGGGTACTAGCCCCCGTCGTCAGATTGTCGCCGTCACCAGTGGTCCTCGGCCGGGCGCTCGCTGAAATCTTCGCCCACTACCGATGGAGGACCACCTCCGTCATTGGCCTCGGTGAGTTGACCCCCCCCCCTGCAAAACTCCTCCCCAGCCAACTCAATGTACCGTTTATGGTATACATACCATACCCCCCGTCATCGTTACAGCTGCGACGGGAGTGGACTTGGCTAACGCGACCTGGTCAGGACTCGACGACGCGGTCACAGGGGCGTTGCGGTCGATCGGGGTCGTACCGAGGCTTCGCGCCACTCTGCCCCACAACGCCAGTCCAAAGCAGATACGCGCCACCCTGAGGCCCCTCAGGGCTGTCCCCTGTAGAGGTGAGTTGACAGGACAACTGCCACTGATAGATTCAAGGAGGGAAGGGGGAATAAAAGAAAAAAGATACAAAAGACACGGGGGGGGGGGGTTGTTTGCAGCAATAATCGTGTGCCTGCCGCTGGAAGGTGGCCTGCTGTCCCGGGTCCTCGTCGAGCTGGACGCGATACAAGAGTCCCGAGCGCCGAGTCCCTTCGTCGTCGTCCTCCACCCCCTGGAGCCCCTTCCCTTTTTACCCCCGAGGCAAAACTACAACGAGGAGGAACCGACGAATACCTCTTCCAAGACCACGAGTGAGGCGAGCGAGGAGGAGCGTTTCGTCCCACCCCGGGATCTCCGGAGGAGGACCTTGGACCATTTGCTGGTGATCGCACCCTTCGACCGGAGGTACGGAGGGCTATTTTGTTGTCTGATGCTTCATAGGAATATTGCGATCGGATATTGCGCGGAGCCCCAAGTGGGAGACTTTTTTCCTTTGCCGTACGATCGAAGCCCTCTCGATCGGCGTGATTTCAATTTCACCAATGTCCTTTTCGAATCGCGGCTGGCGGAACAAAGTAACAGGTGGGGGGAAGAAAAAGTTATTCAAGCCAAAAGTTGTACGTCAAACGGCGTGGGGAGGGAATTAGTGGGTTTTCCGGTCGATTCCGCCGCCAGAGGCCGAGCTCAAAACGACAAGGATGGGGAGGGGGGAGGAGTGGTAGTGAAAGCCGCGCCCATGGTTCGGACTGTAACACATTCCTGCCCCGGTTTCGCTCGCATCCGGAGAAAAACAGCGACTTTCCGAGCGCCGGTGCCGATCGATCGCTTTATTTCCCCATCTAGCTGCGTTTGCATACTTACACGAGGCGCGATGGGAGGGAGGTAGAAGGCGTCTCGCTGATTGGCCTCTACTTTCAAGGGGACTTTTTTTTTTTTTTTTTTCACTCTAGCCGAGGGGATGCGAATACGCGCTCTATTAGCATTTGGCTGTAAGTCTCGAGGATACTTTCCGTGTGGCCATTCGAGAGAGAAAAAAACAATACTCTCAAGGAGTGATTTATAAAAAAAATTTCCCGAGAAGGGAAGGAAATTCCAAGGGGGGAGATATGTTACATTGTTGCACAGTTGCCCCCGGATTCAGTGGGCCGAATCAGGCCAACCGGCTTTTTTTTTCATTCCACCCCTGACGGCGATACGCCGCAATTGAATTAAAACGGCCTCTTCCCTCGAACGAGCCTTCTTCGCCTGGGGATGGCTTTTTGTCGCTGTACAGGGAACTAGCTGTACTTAGAAAATGTCCTGCCACACCCCTCGCCCGAGAGAGACCAACGAATTTTCCATTTTCCCCTCACATAGTGCACCAATTCAGTTCACCTTTTAGGTTTGGATCATCTCTTGTGGCTCGGATCGTCCTTTGTGGAACTTAATTATTTCGGACGAAGCAGGGACCATCAAAGGGACCTTCACGCTCGACGGCTCCAAATAATCGATGAAGGTTAATTACGGTTAACAGAACAGATAGTCCGGGGCTTTGTTTCACTGGACAATTGGAGACCATTTGAGCGGTTAAACTGTTCAGCTTTGCTTATTTTTACAGGACAAGCAATATTTGTGTCGTTTCCCAAAATTGCGATTAAACTGTAGATCTCGACAATATAACTCGGTATACTTTTCGTTTAAAGGAAAAAAAAAAGAAAAAAAGAAAAATTAATCTTCGTACTCCAATTGTGAAAAAAAAAAGAGTTATATTTTTTTAAGCACCCATCGTGACACGATGTGGTGGGCTGAACACGCTCGATTGATTATATAGACGCGATCCTTCCCCTGCAAGCGCTTCTCTTTGAACCCATACTACGCCGTTTGGAAATTTTATCGGAAAAGTTTCACAACGGTGTAGGTACACGCGTGCGTCCATTCGATTACCCATATGCGATCCTTTTTTTTTTTTCTTCTTCTTCTTCTCTACACTTGGTTTTTACCTTTTGGCCGAAAGAACTCGAATGACCGGAACTCCGCGGGATATTGAGTTTTTCACCTCTCTTTTTTTTTTGTTATTATGGTCGGACACGGGGAGGACGGATTTTTTGGTTGCACCTGCTGGTACGATGCCTTTTCAAAATGAATACACCCAGAACTTGTTGTCGTTGACAGGAAATCAGCGTATATACATATATACCAACTCAATGCAAATCACCCGATAATCGAAAAGTGAAGCGAAGGAAGGAAAATACGCGTCGACGAGGGTGACGCGAGTTTAGGAGTATACAAGTGTCGTAGCCGATTATTGGATCGAGTAGACGAAGTCGGGCAGGTATAGGGGGACGGAAGTAGTTTACGCCGCACGTATGCAGAATCTCGTCGGCAGAGGGAGGGAGGAATTCGTCCAATCTTTATATATATATNTGATTAGCTCAGTTCGATAAAGCTATTCTCATACATTTTGAAATTATAATTAATGAACCGTGCACACATCCGTACGTATAATTGATCGCTAAAAACGATTTAAAGAAAATGTTGTGTGGTTGAAAAAAATCATATATCCGCACAATCGATTAAAACCACGCCTCTATCTTCGTCCCGCAACTTTCCCACGAGCAAGTCGCTGCCCTCGCTCGTCAATATCCTCGACAGTATCGTCCTTCTGTCGTTATTCTCGCCATCGACGTCAAACACGCGAAACTTGTCTGGAAGACTGAGTGCATTTTTCGACGTTTCCATGTAGGTAACATGTGTTTTTTTTTTTTTTTTTTTTATATTCCCCATGTACGACAAATTAGGTGACATCTCAGCTGAGATTTCATAATAAGTGTCCTTACTCAATTTTACACTTTTCCAAACTAACTCGTTGACGATACCATTCCGAAAAACACATGTTGATGTCACCTGATGATGGTCGTAGATGATCGGGGTTGGGTATGCAGTTAAACGCCATAATGTTTCAATAGTATCGGTTGTGAAAAACGAAAAATAACGACCAAAACTGCATTGGCAATTGAGTTTTGCCAGTGATTTTTGTCAAGTAGAAATGTAATTTTTACGAAACGCCCGTCCGATACGTATAGTTAAACGGCGTGAGAATGCCATGGAATACGTAGCTCGAAAAAAAAAAAAAAAAAAAAAAAAAAAAACACACCCCATCGCCTAAGCAACAAGCTACCAAGGTGGATCGTGATCTCCCTTGTAATCCCAAAACCTTCCCCCGTTGGGCAAACTCGCGCAACAGGTGGCTGCAGGTAGCCAATTATTAATACCCAATGACCCGCCCGTGTAGGTACGACGTAGAGCGCGTGCTCGACGGCACCTCGGCGTACGAGCCACCCCGGACCCTCGACCACCTGCGCGAGGCCCTCGACTACCTGTCGGCCAACGGCCCCGAGTTCCACACCATCAACGGCTACGGCAACAAAATCTTCACCTACGGCCTCTTGGCTTACGACTCCCACTGGCGGCCGATCGTCACCCTCGCCGAGGGTACCCACGGCCTCATCCTCCAGGAGGTGGCTGGGCGCGCCGAGCTACTCACGGCCAATGGGGACCTCGACGACGCGATCTGCGACGACGCTGCCGACTGCTCCGGTGAGAATCAACCTTTTTTGTTTGTTTTTTTCCTCAAGTGTATGTATACTCTTTTACACATATTTCCGTTTGTCGCGTCTTTCCAGTGGAAAAGGTCGGCGGTTTCTTGTCCCAGCACAACGTACACATCCTGCTGGTGAGCCTCGGCTCCGTAGTTTTGGTGCTGTCGGTCTTGATGGTCCTCGCCTTGGTCAGGTGACAAAATTGTTTTTTTTTTTTTTCATTGTACTCCATTTGGAGGCGCCTCTCGATATTAATGTATATATATACATATACAGATGTGTGAAAAGTTGGTTTTTCCGTACAGGAGACACCTGTTGAAGAAGCGCATGTCGAAGGGCCCGTACAAGATCATCCTGACCGCGACGGACTTTGTCTTTCCCCAGATCCCGGACTCCAGGCGGGTGAGTTCTACTTATATACCTTCGCTCGACGTTTTCATCGATTGTACGTAATGGCGTAGGGGACGTTTTTTTTTTTTTTTTTTTTTCTTTAACTTTTACTACCCGTGGAACCAAAAGGGATCGCCTCGACTTGGAGGGATGAAAAGAGTTAAATACAACCTCGAGCTGCTTGGGGGTGGGATGTTATACCTCAACGAGATTTCACGCTCGAGTCGGACGGAAGTGTAATTAGATCCCGTGTAGGAGCGAGTCTCGCGAGTTTCGGGATTACCGGGCTCTGATGCTTTTCCTCTCGCGACTCGCAGTTAGGCGCGCGCTTGCGAGCTTGTCTGGGTTTTTGCGAAAGGACCGATATTGAAATAATAATGCGACCCGATGCTCCCAAGTGAACCAATCGCCTCGGGTGGATCATCGAAAAATTCGTACAATATATTATATATGATCGTAGCCAGACTTGGGCACAATTGTTTTTATGGTTTGTAATGAACATTGCATTGTGAATGGTGTCGAATAATATATATTATCTAGAAAAAACCAAAATTGATAATCATTTGTGCTCAAGTCGAATGATGGCTCCTTGTCGAGAGTATTCGTTTTTCTTTTTTTTTTTTTTTTTTTTTTTTTTTTTTTTTTTTCTTTCTAGATAGTAGCAGAATATTTATATCACGATCGTGAATAATGACCACTTGAAAGGTGTATTGAATATATGTATACATATATTTTAAGGTAAGATTTCACTAGTACAAGTGGGTGCTTTTTTTTTCCAACGAAAGTAACGGTAGAAGAAAAGTGGTGCCGTAGAGTGACTTATACTGTCCCTTTACATGATGCAATATGGTGCATCTCGCAGGAAGATGATTAAAAAAAATCGTGATCGTCGCTTATTTCACAAAAGAGCTGAGAAACCATAAAATACACGTATAGTATCATTTTAATTTCCTATTATGTGTATTGACATACACGTACAACCTTTGAATTAATGATATTTCGGTATATTTTAATTAGAAAAGCGCGAGGAGAAAAAGCTCCATGAGTGGCTGGTTTTTGTAAATCTACTATACTTGCCGAAACGTCCCATCAAGTTTGGGTCAGAGTAAACGAACGTACGGAAATCACGACGCAAACGAATAAATATACAGAAACGAATATGCCACCTGTTGTTTGTAAGCTTCGCAAATATATTATACCCAACACCTGTAAAATCGATCTCGTTTGTACACGTGTTGTTATAATTACTTAATTTTGACCACTCGTTCCCCTATCTAAACGACCCCTTGTGATTATAGACGCCAACCACTATATGTGCTTTTTTTTTTATTTATTTATTTATAAACTCTGGAAGCAACGCCGGGAGCGACGAGCAGTATAGGGGAATGTAACAACCTCCGGATCGTTTGTCGAGCCGAGAGAAACGAGCGTGTAAAAGGGGAACGCGCAGCCGAGGCGGCTGTTTTAAAGCGCAGGAAAACGTATAGATGCAGCAGCCACAGCCCTCCGTGACCAATGAACCACGAATTTTTCAGATGCGAAGGGGTGCACGTGTACGGAAAAATACACCGAACCTGGCTTGCGTGTTTTTTTTTTTTTTTTTTTTTTAATCATCGGTATTGTAGATGGTCGCGTGAACAAACTCGTCTTAATGTTTATTACAATTGCAAAAAAAAAAATATTCTCAACTACGTAAACGAAAGTCCACCGCCACAACATCGATCTTGCAATCGTTAATTGTAGGCTAAAAAACTATCATTATTTTTGACGAGTTGTATGAATCGTTTCGTGTTTTAACGTAAAAAATATCACAGAGTTGTGGTGAAAATACATAACAAATGAGTCCATAGGTTTTCATGCCGATTTTCAGTGTATAGGTGCGTTTGCTCGCCAACAGTTAATTGGTGCCATAAACTTGGAAACGGTATTGCCGGGCCTTCATTGTGAAACGTAACATTTTGCTCGTCGTACGTGACATTCCAGATTTTTGGTTAATTGTAAAAACCATGAATCATTACGTAGTAGGTATACATTGCTCAAAAAAAGGTTTTTTTTTCTTTTTTTTTTTTTTTGTTATCAAATTAATTTATGAATTCTCGGTAACTTTATAAAAACACGTACGCTTTTTTTGGCGGAGTAAAAAAAAGAAATGCAACGTTGGTGGAGTTTTGGACGTAAAAAAAAGAGCTTACAAGTTTTTAAACGTACTTTACATGTACGATGAACTCAACGATATAATTTATGCACGAGAAAAAAAAATGGATTTAAATTACAGTGATGACATTTCAATTAATTTCGCGACATCCCTTAAACTTCAAAAAATGACTGTAACGACTCGGCCGGGCAAAGTGTAAGCGTGGGACCTCATTTTCGTGAAAAATATTCGTAATTAATCAAAAAGAAGGAAAGAAAAAAGTGTTGGACGCGCTAGGAAGCAAAAGAGATTGAAAAAGGTGCGCAGGTGGGAACAATAAAAACAGCAATGGCACCGACAGCAGCGTCATCGTAAAATCTTACAGCCCGTCAGACCTATAAATTTCAGAGCTAAGCGCACTTAAATCTCGTATTAAAAAAAAATGAAAAAAAAAACTTACGAGATAAAAAAAGTGCATAGTTGCGAAAGACCCAAAGTTTTGTCGCACTTTACGGAAATTTCGGTTCTACACGATACGAGATGATACACGTGATTTACGATAGATAAGGACATGAGATTTTTAATCGGATAGTACGAGCAAATCGAACGATCGACCTTGAATGTAACAAACATACCATCTGTAAGTTGCGATTGATTGATTAGCTCAGTTCGATAAAGCTATTCTCATACATTTTGAAATTATAATTAATGAACCGTGCACACATCCGTACGTATAATTGATCGCTAAAAACGATTTAAAGAAAATGTTGTGTGGTTGAAAAAAATCATATATCCGCACAATCGATTAAAACCACGCCTCTATCTTCGTCCCGCAACTTTCCCACGAGCAAGTCGCTGCCCTCGCTCGTCAATATCCTCGACAGTATCGTCCTTCTGTCGTTATTCTCGCCATCGACGTCAAACACGCGAAACTTGTCTGGAAGACTGAGTGCATTTTTCGACGTTTCCATGTAGGTAACATGTGTTTTTTTTTTTTTTTTTTTTTTTTTTTTTACGTCAAGTTCGCGCTCTACGTAACAGTTGTATTTTTCCGCTCATTTTTGTGCACTCGTTACTGGTGTCTTAGTAAAATATTACTTGATATTTATATGCATATTCGTGGTGTGTTAGTGCACTGGTAAATGTTTATTTCCAAATGTTATTACAACAAGTACTTATACGTATATATACTTAATTAAAGGGCAACATTGAAATTGAGATGTTACAAGTAATATTGTAAAGTGACGCAAAATTAGCAAAAAAATAAATAAAAATTCAGATGTTTATACCTCTGATATCAAGGCACGTAACATCCGGAAAAAAAAAAAAAAACAATGTGTTCGAGTGAGAGAAGCTACATATTAATAATTATGTGACATGTATGTGTCCTTAGAAACCCAGTACCAATCCATTGCACTGACAAGCAAATAAGGCTTATCAATGGCCTAGGACGCATTCGATACCAATTAAAACAGCGTAGATAGTACAAGTACGTGTTTTTCCAAGTATTACATATTAAGACAAGAGTTTTGTAAAGTTAAAACAGATAAAAAAAGATTACGCGTCGCTTGCGATTGCCGTTCGATTAGAGAAATAAAAATAGCTCCTAATGCGTTTTGTCATTGATACAAGAAGCACTACCGATTTGATCCATCGGTCGATGAAAAATCAATTATAACAACGTTATATACCATTTTTTAATAGTAATCGTACATTTATCAATGAAATAAAAAAAATTAAAAAACCATTAAACATCCATGTATTTTCCATCGAATGTCGTAAAGATGAATCAACGTAATCGGTAAACGTATTTATATACTGTGCGCAATAGCTAAAACCACCCGTTGTCCTCGTAAGTATCGATAAGCTGTTGCAGCGGTTGGATTATTTCTTCGGTCTTGCCCTCATTGGCCAAAATGATCTTCAACCCCATGGCGCACAACGGAAACTGAATGACCGATTGGCGTTTGAGCTCCGCGACGTAGTCCTCCTTGGTGAAACGCTTGGAGTCGCATCCGACTTTGTCGGTCCATTCGATAAAGGTTTCGTAGTACAGGTCGATCAGGTCTTTCGAGTGGCGCGATCTCGTGGTTGGGTGGAGGCTCGAGGTCAGGAAACGGGACACGTCCCTCAACGCGCTGTTGCACTGGAACGACTGGAAGTCGAGGAGCTTCACGTCGTCCACGCGACCTTGTTCGTCCTTGTGGAACATCAGCTGTGATGGAGGATGAAAAAATTGGACATACTATTAATCCATTCCTAAAGTTTTCGATTATACGCTTTTTAAAGCACAAAGTCTCAACCGATTACTCCCCCATCAGCCATAATCAACGAAAGATCGCAACATTTTTTTTTTACGAATCTCCAGATTGTATTTTGCCACTGGAAAACGTTAGTCCACCTCTATGAATTTAACATCCACACAAGTCTTTTTGTTTTTGCAACAGAAAAATGATAACATTCGAGAAACGAAGGAACACAAAAGTAAAATAATTTTTCCGTCAGAGTATATAATCGTACACTTACATTGTTGATCCAAATGTCGCCGTGTATGATCGTGGCGAATTTTCCGCAGTCGGTCCTGATCCAGAGATTGCCGTTTTTAGCTTCCGCGAACGCCGGCTCCATCAGCCCGATGTGCTTGCGGAGGCTACCGTTGTCCCGAATCACCTTCAATACCGAGTCAAACGTGTCGTCGAGCGGCCCAAAGTCGAACGGATGCGAAGCAGCCAGTGCAATCATCTTCTCGGGTATGTCCGGTCGCAGTCTTATCACAGCCATCCCCAGCGCGTGGAACCTCGCCAAGCACACCGTCACTTTGCGCGCGTGCTCCACGTCCAGACCTACCATCAAAAAAACCATATTTTTTTTTTTCCATACCCATGTCCAGTGCATTTCCAACGCTGCGCTTACCAACGTACTTGTCCACCATGTAGTACCCCCGGGCGCCCAGATTCTCGAGGAGCAGCATCGAGTCCTGGTCCACCGAGTCCTGGTTGTCCTCCTCCAGTGAATTCCGCGAGCCAAAGAACTTGGGGTGAAAATCCAGGGGTTCCTCGATGCCCAGTTTTTCCTCGACCTCCCGGTAAGCCGGCACCACCTCCGCGTAGGCAAAGACCTCGGGTCGGAAGGTAAAGACCCAATCGACCACTGCCCGGTTCGACTTGTCCGGGGTTTTGGCCACAAAGTGCAGGGCCACGTCCTCCTCCCGAGGGCTCGTATTTTTGCGCACCCGCGCGTCCACCTTGACGATCGAGCTGCAAAAGTTTTCCCCGGGGGGTAGCATCGCCGTGGCCGTGTAGTCGACGAGCACGAGGTGGTCGCAGTCGAGGCATTTCTGCAGAAACGGCTCGAACTCGCGGATTTCGATCGGCACGTCGGGTCGCGTCTCGGGCATTTTTTTTTTTTTTTTTTTTTTTTTATCACTGACGCGTTATCGGATCGTTATACACGCACTACGCACTTTGTTACGCAGGTACGCGACGACTCGACTCGTCCACGCGCCCGAAGAGAATGTCTTTGACTGTAGTTTTATAGCAGCTCTCTTCGAGGGTATTGATAAGTTACTTTTTTTTTTCTTTTTTTTTTTTTTTTTTCTTTTTAATAATAATCACGTTAATTGAGGTTCTTGCGATATTAATTTATTCTATCGTGAATAATGACCACTTGAAAGGTGTATTGAATATATGTATACATATATTTTAAGGTAAGATTTCACTAGTACAAGTGGGTGCTTTTTTTTTCCAACGAAAGTAACGGTAGAAGAAAAGTGGTGCCGTAGAGTGACTTATACTGTCCCTTTACATGATGCAATATGGTGCATCTCGCAGGAAGATGATTAAAAAAAATCGTGATCGTCGCTTATTTCACAAAAGAGCTGAGAAACCATAAAATACACGTATAGTATCATTTTAATTTCCTATTATGTGTATTGACATACACGTACAACCTTTGAATTAATGATATTTCGGTATATTTTAATTAGAAAAGCGCGAGGAGAAAAAGCTCCATGAGTGGCTGGTTTTTGTAAATCTACTATACTTGCCGAAACGTCCCATCAAGTTTGGGTCAGAGTAAACGAACGTACGGAAATCACGACGCAAACGAATAAATATACAGAAACGAATATGCCACCTGTTGTTTGTAAGCTTCGCAAATATATTATACCCAACACCTGTAAAATCGATCTCGTTTGTACACGTGTTGTTATAATTACTTAATTTTGACCACTCGTTCCCCTATCTAAACGACCCCTTGTGATTATAGACGCCAACCACTATATGTGCTTTTTTTTTTATTTATTTATTTATAAACTCTGGAAGCAACGCCGGGAGCGACGAGCAGTATAGGGGAATGTAACAACCTCCGGATCGTTTGTCGAGCCGAGAGAAACGAGCGTGTAAAAGGGGAACGCGCAGCCGAGGCGGCTGTTTTAAAGCGCAGGAAAACGTATAGATGCAGCAGCCACAGCCCTCCGTGACCAATGAACCACGAATTTTTCAGATGCGAAGGGGTGCACGTGTACGGAAAAATACACCGAACCTGGCTTGCGTGTTTTTTTTTTTTTTTTTTTTTTTTTTTTTTTAACGGTACAACAGCGACAATGGCATGTATCGTCGAGGAGGGATTTCACAACTGTCAACTAGTTTGATTTGAATGTATAGTAACAAAAAAAAATAAATAAAAAATTCCACAAAAATAACGTCCAACATTGCAGATAGCCGTTACTTCTGAAGTACAAAAATAATACTAATATTCGCATCTCAAATATTATACAATAAAGTCATATTTATTGTGAAAAAAAAAAAAATCACCTCACTCCATGAAGAATAAACCAAAAGCAACGAAACGAGCAGGGATCCCTCTCCTTATTTGAAATGCAGCCTTGTCCCCTACATATATATATCATCTATTGTATACAGGGGCAGTAAAGCTCATGGAGAAACTCGTGCTCGGCAGCAAGTTCGCCGGTCCGTTCGAGCGTGTAAAATTGTTAAGCGGATGGTATACGAGAAGAAAGAAAGAGATATCGAGTAACGGAGTAAATTTCGTTTCAGGGCGATCTGGTCCAATTGAAGCTGCTTCCCGTTCAAAGCACCTTCGAGCTCAAAAGCAAGGCGATGGACCAACTCGTCGTCGTGAGTATATACACACCCAAGTCCCTTTCTCTCCTCCCGCAATTTTACGAAACCACGCACCGCATGAGGCCCCAATGTTTTATTTAATCCAAGTGCCACCTTCAGCGTTGCCCATTACGGAAAAGTCCTTGTACCTATGGTTGAATGGAAACGAAAACAATAACAATTACCGACAGATCCACGGGCTGCGCCACGAGAATCTGAATCCACTGATTGGGTGTCTGACGGAGCCAAACAGGCCCTGCCTCGTCTACGAGTACTGCTCGAGGGGCTCCCTCGAGGACGTCCTCGTTCAGGACGAGATCAAGCTGGACTGGTCGTTCCGGTTGTCCCTCCTGACCGACCTCGTTCGGGTGGGTACTCCGACACCTCGATCCCCCACGAAGGTGAAGTAACTTTTTGTTTTTTGTTTGTTTGTTGTTGCTCAGGGCATGAAGTACCTGCACAGCACCCCCATACGAGTACACGGCTACCTGACCTCGCGCAACTGCGTCATCGACGCCCGGTGGGTGCTCAAGGTCACGGATTACGGGCTCCCGGCCTTCTACGAGGCCCAGAACATACAGCCGGCACCTAAAACCGCACGCGGTACGTACACAACCATGTACAATTATAATACCGCGCTGGTTCACCCGGAGCTTGCCTTTTGTTTAAACTTTCAATTAAAAACCCGCGTTGAACGAAAATTCCTTTATCTATGTACACACGCCCGTTCCTCTCCCCTTGGAGAGCCACGTAGTTTTCGCTCTCCGCCGAACCTGCACCGCTTCATCGTCTCTGGTTGATTTTTTTTTTTTTTTTTCGAGTTATCAAGGTGGCTCCGTTATAACCCCCGTGTACTATCGATTGGGGGAAAAAAAAAAAAAAAAATCCTTTTCAGAGCTCCTGTGGACGTCGCCCGAGCTACTTAGACAACCAGCCCAACTGAAGCGCGGCACCCAGCCTGGAGATGTGTACAGCTTCGGCATCATCATGCAGGAGGTTGTCGTGCGCGGCGAGCCCTTCTGCATGCTCTCCTTCTCCCCCGAGGGTAAGTACTCAGATACACACGGTTGGGCTCGCCATGATCCTCCTACTTCGAAAGCCACCCCCCCCCCCCGACATCGAGCCCAATTTTATCATGAAACAACACATGACGTATTCCACTTTTGAAGCTACGAACGCATATCGTCGATCGTACAAATAAAAAAAAACTTATTTCCATCCCCAAAGCCGAGTAATACACGCCGTGGGTTATATAACCCTGGGGGGGGGGCTACTTCGATCGACAGCTTCGACGTTTATTTTGGTGCACGGGCAGCGGCAAAAGTATGTAACGAATTCCCTCAGCCGCGGTCCCTTTGATATATCTCCCCCCCCCCTTGGTTAGCCTGGAGAGGATGTAGGACCTCAAACGCGATGAAACACCATTGACATGCACAAGTGTTGGGTACAGAAATAATCGAGAAGGTGAAGAAACCGCCGCCCCTGATAAGGCCGTCGGTTAGCAAGGGAGCGGCGCCGCCCGAGGCCATCAACATAATGCGCCAGTGCTGGGCCGAGAACGCGGACATGCGGCCGGACTTCAACGCAGTGTACGACCTCTTCAAGAAGCTCAATCACGGCAGGTGAGTCGAATCATCCAAATTTTAATGGAATTTCGTGAGTTGGGTCGGACCGCGCGTTTAGCTGTACCACTTGAAGGGGGGGAGGTCGGGTGCTCGCTCGATCGATCCCCTCTCTCTCTCTCTCTGTCTCCGGCTCCTTTCCGCATAAAAGCTCGACCATCGAGAATCGGAGAAAGAGAGAGAATGTTATACATACAACGGTGCACAGCGTAAGGGGGGGGGGGAGTTTGAAGACTAATCCAGACTTTATAAACTATAGTTTCCCGGGGCCAACCGGTGTTATCTCTCCCTTCCACAAGTGTAATGGAATTTCATACGCGGGATGATGCATGAGTGTACGCGTGTATAGGGAAGGGAGAGAGCCGGTGAGATGATGTAGTTCTCTGTGAGCGAGTGGGGGGTTGGATGTGTTTCGGGCTTTCGCTGTATTGAATTGCGTATGCCCGGGGCTGCGGAGTACTTTTATGAATATATCGGATGTTGTGCTTGAGGTGGAAAACGGAGCGGAAGCTCTAGATGTGGGGCTTTCCTTTTTTTTTTTTTTTTCCGACTCGATGTCATCGTGGGTTTCCTTTACGGGGATATAGGGTGCAGGACGCGGGTCCAACGTGTGCCATCGCAGCGTTTAATGTTTTTGCATCGAGAGGGTGATTATGCTTTTTGGATTCGCTATATATACTCCCTTTTTTTTTTTTTTTTCAACACGAGAAACGCGTATACGTACGTGTAAAACTAGAAAACAAAAAACATTCTCATTTTCATTGTAAAAGTTTCGTTAGAATATTTCAACTGCAATTTGCGCTGGCATTCAAATCGTATCGATATCTATTTTTTTCTTCGTTGCTTTTTCCAATGCCAAATGACCGATAGCGCCCTGGCGTCATAAAAGGCTTACAAGTGTGGAAAATATGTGAACACGACCGTCTAATCGAGTTTTATTTTTAAATTCACGATAAATGTTGGAAAATCAGAATTTGACAGCAGAGTTTGAATATCAATTACTGATACTTACAAGGAGAAAAAAAATGGACGATAGCAAATGCTTTTTTTTTTTTTTTTTTTTTTTTTAATAATAATCACGTTAATTGAGGTTCTTGCGATATTAATTTATTCTTTGAGGTAATCCTAAATGCAACCAATCAGTTGGGAGTGTTCCAAGTATACCTACTTGTGCGTAACAAAAAATGTTCATATTTTTACGTGCTTGATATTTCAACGAATTCACCATAAACTCGTATGCAAGCGCTCGGGTAGTGAGATAAGCCTCCCAAAAGTAAATAAAAAAAAAAAAAAAAAAAAAATTGAAACCAATATTTGTTTAGCCTGAATTGAGAATATCCTGCTCGGCACGTCAAAATTGACAGAAAATGAATAGGGCTGCTGCAACTCGAGCGACATTAGTAACAATGTAATAATGACCATGAAAACCCAAAAAATGGCCAACTCGCCACCCCGTAAGCATGTACATTAGGTATATACACTCTTCCGGAACCTCCTACCGAATATTAAGAGAGCACTCGCGAACCTCGAGAGCTGACACGCCCACGTAATACAGTTTAACACCCGGTTGATAACGCTCTCTCTTACCCCTCACGCCCGCATACTAACACCCCCCCCCCACGCGCAGCTAAACTCGAGGAGACAAGTGCATTTGCCCGAAGGGGGTGCTCGACGCTAATTCCCTCCCCCCCCCCATTTGAGCAGAGTTTACGACGAGAGGAGGATTTAAGGGGATCGAACGAGCGTGCCTTCATCCCCCACTTGTTTTTCCTCCAAATGGTACGGTGTCTACTCTACGTGCCCGATACTTTACCTCGTGAAATTACCTCCGAGGCTAATCGTCGATAATCCGTTTAATATATATATACATGTATGTTTTTTTTTTTTTTTTTTCTACGTATATGTACGATTGATCGTTGTGTTGGGCTTGTGCGCAGGAAAGTGAATTTCGTCGACACGATGTTTCAAATGTTGGAAAAGTACTCGAACAATCTGGAGGATCTGATCCGGGAGAGGACCGAGCAGCTGGACATGGAGAAAAAAAAGACGGAGCAGCTGCTCAACCGCATGCTGCCGAGGTGAACGACAGTTATTCTTTCCCCCCTCCCTGCCCCTCTCATTGAATAAGATTGCGTATGAAAAAAGTATACTCCCCGCAGCTCCGTGGCCGAAAAATTGAAGCTCGGGATGCCGGTCGATCCCGAGGAGTTTGCCGAGGTGACCATCTACTTTTCGGACATTGTCGGCTTCACCACCATATCCGCGTACTCGACGCCCTTCCAAGTGGTCGACCTCCTCAACGACCTCTACACGTGCTTCGACGCCACTATAAACGCGTACAACGTGTACAAGGTGAGAGGGGGGGGACAACTTACAATTTCTTTGTTTTTTTTTTTTTTTTTTTTTGTTCTTATTTCAAATCGTGTCGAGGGTAGGTGGAGACGATAGGCGATGCTTACATGGTGGTGGCCGGGTGTCCCGTGAGGATACCCGACCACGCGAGTCAGATAGCCACGATGGCCCTGGACCTGCTCCACCAGAGCGGCAAGTTCAAGCTCCGGCACCTGCCCGAGACCCCGTTGAAGCTCAGAATCGGACTTCACACGGGTACGGCCTTTCCTTTTTTAGAAAAATATCCGGGAGAAAAAAGAGTAAAATTACTCCGTTGATAGGTCCGTGCTGCGCCGGGGTGGTGGGTCTGACGATGCCGAGGTACTGTTTGTTCGGGGACACCGTGAACACGGCCTCGAGGATGGAGTCGACGGGGGCGCCTTGGCGCATACACCTGAGCCAAGCTACGCGAGACAGGTTGAACCAAGTCGGGGGTTACCACATCGAGTTTAGGGGCCACACGGAGATCAAGGGCAAGGGACAGATGCCCACGTACTGGCTCCTCGGCAAGCAGGGCTTCGACAAGGAGTTGCCCGTACCACCGCCCCTCGGGTGAGTTATATAAGGCGGGCCATTTTACGGAAAATTCCATGTGTACTTTCGTACGCGACTTTGATATTTTCATAAATAAAAAATAAATATCTGTACGATTTTTAATACGTTTGTTTTTTTTTAATTATCCAAGTGAGAGTGACGGCTATATGGGCAATGCTAGTACTTAAAATGACGTTAAATTACCGTTAAGACTATTTATTTTGCCGAGACGAACCAAAACCTTACGTATATAACCTTTGAACCGATTGCAAATAATTTTGATAAAAAAAAAATTGGATAATTATATTAGAATGGTTAAGAATGTTTGAGAAAAAAAGTTTTCACGCGAGGTAATCAAACATATTTTTCTCTACATTTCGCTGACTTGCCCTTTTTTTTGTATCCATTTAAATTTATGTATACGCGCACAATCATATAGTCAAATTGTCTGATACATGGTGTCTTCTTTTTTCTTCGCTGTCGCATCTTGCGGTGATCCAGGGAGGACTACGGGTAAGCGATCCAATAGAGAGACTTGTAGCCTTTGAGGGAAAAAAAAAAAAAAAAAAAACCATATGAAAGGTATCCCCGACGCTCGTCTTTCAGACTCGACGAGATCCTGATCCACGAGACCCTCCACCCGACAACGAGCAAGAACCAGCCGGAGCAGCCGAGCACCTCCCCGCACGGCCAACTGGTCCCTACGGGTCACCTGCCGACCCTGCCGTCGATAGACGACGAGAGCTCGGCCGAGGTGAGCAGCAGCGCAGCCATACCCATCACCTCGTCTACCACCACCCCAACGACGACTATGGCGACGTTGACAGCGACCGGTCAGCATCAGCACGCGTCGCCCAGGCAATTCGCCAACAGCGAGCAGTCCTCGATAGACAAGGGCTACACAGGTGAGGCGTCATCCCGTCGCGTCGCAGTCTCGGTGCACGAATGCTCCGTAGAGCCCGCCGATAGATCCACGCCCGACCACTCGAGCGCCAGCGTTACCAAGACCGCGTCCGGGGACAATCCCATGATGCTGGGTACGGCCAGTATACATATACATATACTATATGTGTATATCTACTCTCGGGGTTTTTTTTTTTTTTTCACCCCCTTCGATGTGTTTTTTACGCGGGTGGACGGTACTCGCTCTCTCAGTTTTTTTTTTTTTTTTTTTTTTTTTTTTTTTTTTCGTCACGGAATGAGTACACAAGTACACGATGACATAAATACGCAGTCTTTGATAAGCGATAAGAGTGAGCGACGAAAGGCAAGCCGAGAGTCGGTTTTAGTGTTTGATCGAGTGTTTGTTTTGTCCATTGTTCGGCCGGGTCGTGCAGGCACGCCGGTATCGGCAACGGAGGTGGCAGCCGCGCTGCTCGGGGCCTCCTCGACGTCGATAAACTCGGTGTCGAGCTCCGTCTTTAGGGGACGGCCCCGCCGAGTGGGTGTCATAGACGAGGACGATCTCAGCACGCCCTACAACTACTACAGGTGCCTCTCGCCCAACGAGCACAATGGTGAGCGCCCCCCTTTCCCTTTTCCTATATATATGTTATTGTGTTGGTGGAGATTTTTTTTTTTTTTTTTGTGTCATGCGTGTTGTGGAGGTGCGTTTTTATATATTTAATGGCAATATATCATAAAACCTTGTTGGATTTTCAATAAAAATGCACGCCCAATATCTCACTATTGCACTCGTCTTCATATTTGATCGGTGGTATGATAAAAGGCTCGAGTCAAATAAATTTTTTTTGGGCAAAAACAAAAACTATATACAAATCACGAGCAAACATAGAATATGACGATGCATGCAAAGGTATATAGCACGGTCTATCCGCTTGGTTCCTTCATTCGCTGCCGCAGCTTTCGCGCCGTTCGATGTTTGCAGAGTGTGTTGAAATAAAATTTGTACTTGATTCGTCCGAAAAAAAAAACTATAAATCTGCTTACCGCTTAAGCTTCACACGATGTGGATTAAGGTCTTAAGAGCGTGCTCCAACTCTTTGATGATCGATCGATCCCTCTCTGCTCTCGACTCTCTCTTTGTCTCTTCAGCGAAAAAAGTTTGCTTTGTCGGGCATTAATGAAAAATTAAAAAAAAAGGAAACGAAGCACCCGGAACTTTGGGGAATTTCTCTCGCGTGCAACATCGCGAAGTTAAACGAAGACGGAGGGGATGAAGCCCGAGGCTAAGCTAATAGAAATTTTACTGCTCGTAAAATCGAGTTTAGTTGCAGCATTGCGCACTTATGTAGCCTGCCCGAGTAGAATTTCCTGGTAGCGGAAGTATACTGCACACTTTTTTTTTTTGCTCTCTCTTCTTTCATACTTGGATCGATCGATAATCAAAGTTGACAACTATGTGTATTTTGCCGAGACGCCATTATATTCAAGACCTCGAATCCGATACTTTTTACACGTATACCATGTATCGATAGATACTTATACTCCCTCACTGTAGTTTCGTAAAATCCGTATGGTATGGATCTTCAAATAGTTTTTTTTTTTTTTTTTCTTATAGAATTGTTATGTGGTAGATGAACGAGTTTTCTAATGTTGCAGTGGTTATTTTCATACCGGTTTAATTTCAATCTTTGGTGGCGATTTGTTGATCATTGTTTAACAATTAACGTTGGAAAAGTGATATGATGCTAGTTAATACAGAGGATTTATCTTCATTGAGCAGTTTCAGCGGGACTTGACGTCCATACAATGACTTTTCAAGTTTTTCGCGAAAGAAAATTAATCATAGAATTATGAAAAAGTTTTTCGTCGAGTCCGAAATGCGCTTTATATAGATTTATTGGCGCCGCGTATATTGATTTATACTCCGTGTATACTTTCACTTCGAGCCGGAAACTTTTAAAAGCTTTGAAAATCAAGTTACCACGGTACGAGAATCCAAACCAATGATAACTTTTTCATACTTTAATTTTCCGTGACTTACAAAACTTACGATAAGTACGATTCAGAAAAGGAAATGAAATTTTTTTTTCTTTCAAGTAGATACAATCGAGTTTGGTAAGACTGGCTCTCAGTCAAGTAGATACAGTCAAGATTGGTAAGACATTTATAAGATTCGAGAAACATTGCTATCTTGAAATAAATCAAAATCCCGACACAATCGTCAAAGTAATTCCGTGGTTTGGTTACGAAAACTTGAAACTTGTCCAAGTGATTTTTGTCGCATAAGCCACAAAAAAGTTCCTTCCCTTGAAACTAACCACTGCACCTATAGTGTCCGTAGTTGGCGTGTAAAACACTTTTTGAGTAGAAAAAAAAAAAAAAAAAAAAAAAAAAAAAAAAAAAAAAAAAAAAAAAAAAAAAAAAAAAA